TCAAACTTCGTACACTCCAATCCTGGTTCCTCTCACAATTCAACCCTTCAGCGGACACCCACCTGAAGAAGCTCCTCATACCGCCAAATGTGGCATACCAACTCACGAATGGTCACTCAACGACACTGTCTTCCTGGGCATCTGCCGCAGATGGGGCCAGCCTACAATAGACCTCTTTCAATACATTTCAATGGACTTTTTCGTTTCGCTTGACAAGGATTTCGCTTAAGAGTGATTTCAATGGAACGAATTATCCTCGTCAAGCAAGGCACCACTGTATAAAAGGAATATTGTGTGCAAATTTTTTTGAGATTATATCCCATTACAGCTTTTCCCACTCTTTTGTTGACTATGAGGGCTACTCCATTACTTCTACGGGATTCTTGCCCACAATAGTAGATATGACAATTGTCTGAATTGAATTCTCCCATTCCCGTCCATTTTAGTTCACCGATGCCCAAGATGTCAATGTTTATTCTTGTCATCTCCTGTTTGACCACATCCAGCTTACCAAAGTTCATAGAGCTTTCATTCCAGGTTCCTATGCAGTATTTTTCTTCGCAACATCAGACTTTCCTTTCACTTCCAGGCACGTCTGCAGCTGAGTGTCCTTTTGGCTTTGGCCCAACCACTTCAGTAGTTCTGAAGCTTACTTGTCCTCCGCTCGTCCTCAGTAGCATGTTGGATGCCTTCCAACCTGAGGGGTCCATCTTCCAGCGTCATATCTTTTAGCCTTTTGTTTCTGTTCATGGGGTTTTCTCCGCAAAGATATTGGAGTGGCTTGCCAATTCCTACTCCAGGTGGATCACATTTAGTCAGAACTCTCCACCAGGACCTGTCCGTCTTGGGTGTCCCTGCTTGGCATAGCCTATAGCTTCTCTGAATTACTCAAGCTCCTTCGCCACAACAAGGTGTGGTGTGATCCATGAAGGGGCCTGGTGTTTAAATTAAGCTAAATAAAATGGAAATATTATTTCACACTTATTAAGACACTCCTACAGTACCCTGTGTATGTCTGCTCTTTGAAGTACTCTTTTCTTAGTAAAAGAAACATGGGTATGTGTTAGACCAGCGGTCCCCAATATTTTTGGACCACTGACTGGTTGGGGAGGTGCGGGCTCCGTGTACAGGTGGGCGGGGCCACCCACACGCTCATGGGTGCACATGTCATGCTTGCAGGTGGGCCTGCCATGCTTACGGAGGGGCACGTCACACTTGCGTGCATGCGCACGGGTGCGACACACCCACCTGCAAGCGCGACACGCCCACACGCAAGCACGGGCCCACTGCCACCTTCTCCCCAGCCAAAACACATACACACACACGCTCTTGGCGTGTGGGGGGCTGTTGCTCCAAAGTCAATCAGCTGCATGAAAAAGTTATTGCCTCCCTCCCTCTCCCTCCACCTGGCTTCTTTTCCACTAGCCAGGGCGGCGTGTGTTGCCAGCCCGCTTTGCGGAGCTGATCGGGGTGGGGTGGGAGAGAAAACGCTGACTCGGTGCAAAGGTGAAGGCACCACTGCCCGGCCTTTCGCTTGCTCCCGCTCCAGATGCCTCCTGGGTGCCAGTTTGCGGGGATCGGCAACAGGGTGGCCCTTTTCCCGCCGTCCCGGCCTGCCAAGGGATGCTCTTCTAACGCCTGGCCGTGTCTGAGGCAGCTGCAACCTTGGTTTGTGGCAGGATTGGCCCATTCAGAAGACCTTTCTCCCCCCCTTCCTCCTCCTGCCTTGCTAGGCCCACATGGGGACGCCTCCCACCCTTGTGGGGGAAGCATGTCCCAAATCAACCTCCCTCCTACCCTCTCCCTTTCCGTGGACAAGACAGACCCGTGTGTGCCTGCATGTGTGAACCCACGGCCTGTCCTGTCCACGGAGAGTGCTGCCTTGTGCAGCCAGTTGTGTCAGTCCAACCTGGTGCTTGGGGGCGATGTTAGATAGGGAAAGCTTTCTTCCCCTTGACACGCCCACCCGTGAGCATGACATGTCCACCCGCAAGTGTGACACATCTATGTGGGCGGGCGGGCAGAGATCTGTGTCCACAGCCCAGTTCAGGGAAGCTCACGGACTGGCACTGTGCCGCAGACTGGGTGTTGGGGACCCCTGTGTTAGACAACGTTAGTTCTGTGTGGCTTTTTAATTGAATTTGCATTGAAAAAGTGATATATTTTTGAGTCCTTTTTGCCTTACAGTGACACAAACTCTGACATTGAAATGTTTGCTTAGAATCATGTTAGGCTAGACTCCCAACTTGCAAGGTAAACAATTGTTTTGCATATTTTAGAATGTGTACTCAAGATGTTGCTTTGTTTTCTACTGAATTAATATAGCATGAAAACATCCCTGGTGGATTTTTTTGTGTAGACTGTATTTTCAGGATGCATTCTCAGTCACTTATGTTCTCATATTATCCCTTTTCCTGTTCTCAAATTCTTCACTTGTATATATGTGGGGAACCTTCATGACTGGTGGCTTATACATAACACTCCAGCAAAACTATTACAGCAAATAATGTTACAGCTTAGTTTGGAAGGGTCACCCCAACTTGTGAAATGCATAGGAAATGGCTTGCCCTGCACCTGTTTTATTGCTGCTTGACTTTAGTAATTGATCTTGGCCAACTCTTAGGGATGGTAACATATAGTGGATACCTCTTTATTCAGCATCCAAGCATTGGAATATACCCTATTTCCCTGGAAATAAGACAGGGTCTTATATTAATTTTTGCCCCCCAAAATGTATTAGGGCATATTTTCAGGGGATGTTTTATTTTTTTCATGTACAACAATCTACATTTATTCAAATACAGTCGTGTCATCTTCTGGTTGCTGCACAATGCTGCACAATGGTGGAGGGCGGGGTTTCACTTAACTGGGGCTTATTTTTGGGGAAGGGCTTATATTACGAGCATCCTGAAAAATGCTGCTAGGGCTTATTTTCAGGTTAGGTCTTATTTTCGGGGAAACAGGGTATTGGGTCTTTGCACCCACAGCAAGCCGTGCTAACGAAGTTCTGTTCGCAACATTCAACCAGGAGGATATGTCAGGAGGGATGGTGGTGGTTCACATATTATTCACACCATTCATTGTTAGATACATAGATTTCTGGCTGCATTTAAGTGCTATGAGCATGTTAAATGTTTATTGGCGGGATACATCCATTTATTGTTATTTCATGTAATAAATACTCCTTTATGACAAACACCTTTTTCCTTTTCTCAAAATTGCAATAAACCTTAGACTGCAATTTTCTATTTTACTCTTGACTGCATGGTTTGATGACTCTTCATATAGCAGAGCTTCCCTTATTTTTAATGCTGCATTTCCAAAGCTTACACTATGGACAGCAGAGTGAAAAATGGCTTTCATCCAGCTTGAAATAAGAGTGAGATAGAAAGAGTTATGCTTACCAAAATAGTGTCACTTTATATTCCTATTCTTCTTTGCTGGACTTAATAATAGTTCTGAGTGTAAGATTTTTGTTTTAAAGGCAGGTGATTAGATCCAATTCTCTTATCTAAGAAAAGCATTTTTAAAGAGACTTCATGTAGCAGAGCTTCCCTTATTTTTAATGCTGCATTTCCAAAGCTTACACTATGGACAGCAGAGTGAAAAATGGCTTTCATCCAGCTTGAAATAAGAGTGAGATAGAAAGAGTTATGCTTACCAAAATAGTGTCACTTTATTTTCCTATTCTTCTTTGCTGGACTTAATAATAGTTCTGAGTGTAAGATTTTTGTTTTAAAGGCAGGTGATTAGATCCAATTATCTTATCTAAGAAAAGCATTTTTTAAAGAGACAGCACTTCAGTATAGGAATAAACCGTGTACTCGTACAGCAATTTCTTTCCTTTGGATTGAATTGTTGGATTTACTTTTGACTTCCTGCATGTTTATTTCTTTTAGTTTCTTCTAGATAACTTTTATCTGTAAACTCCTAGTTATTTTTATGTTCTCTAGTCTGTCTTCTTACAGTATTTCCCATTTGTTTTATTAACTCTGGCAGAGGATGTATTTGTCCTTTTAACTCAGTATAATCTCCTGTCTTCCTTGCATGTTATGCCTTCTAACCACTATTATCGTCTCCCCTTCCTTCTCTTCCTGTATTTTGTTATAGGCACATTTTTCTTGCTCAATATACTTCAGACTGCCTGTGTCATCTACCAGTCTGTTTACTCTTAGCTGTCCACTAGCAGGCATATCCCACCCATTCTCTCTCAAATCTAAGTACTTAAGTCAAGTCAATATTTTCCTGTGAGAGCGGTTCTTAAGTCAAAAAGTTCTTAACTCGAGCCGTTCTTAAGTCAAGACCCCACTGTATAGGAATAAACTGTGTACTCGTACAGCGATTTCTTTCCTTTGGATTGAATTGTTGGATTTACTTTTGACTTCCTGCATGTTTATTTCTTTTAGTTTCTTCTAGATAACTTTTATCTGTAAACTCCTAGTTATTTTTATGTTCTCTAGTCTGTCTTCTTACAGTATTTCCCATTTGTTTTATTAACTCTGGCAGAGGATGTATTTGTCCTTTTAACTCAGTATAATCTCCTGTCTTCCTTGTATGTTATGCCTTCTAACCACTATTATCGTCTCCCCTTCCTTCTCTTCCTGTATTTTGTTATAGGCACATTTTTCTTGCTCAATATACTTCAGACTGCCTGTGTCATCTACCAGTCTGTTTACTCTTAGCTGTCCACTAGCAGGCATATCCCACCCATTCTCTGTATTCTTGTATTTTCAGTATTTTTTGCTTATGGCTACAGTTTGAGTAACAATTAATGTCAACTTTTTGTTTATTAAAATGTAGTGTGCAACTCTTATTTGTGCTTTTTTTAAAACATTACATAAGAGAAGTTGATATGTTAGGAAGCAGCAAAGCTACTCAATGGTAGTTTTAATATATTAAGTCTGCTGGGTTTTAAAATTTTAAAATATCTCCCTTCTTTCTTGTTGGGTAATAAATGTTGTCTCTTTTTTTTCTTTTTCTTTTTTGTAATTTCTTTACAGCCTCAACACACAACATGTCAATAGAATAATTGAGGGACCATCTAGAACCTGCCATGAACCATTTCGAGGGGCCACCTGAAGGAGAGGGCAATGATGAACTAGGAAGTAGAGAAGTGAATGAGTCTGTAGAGGCTGACCTGGAACACTCCGAGGTAGAAGAAGAACAGCAACAATATGCCATTCATTACCCACGATGTGCCAACAACAGTCATGAAGGACGTTCTAGACAGGAAGAGGAGGGCACATTAGCCCGGTCAGCCAGCACGGAGAGTGGCTTCCACAATCACACTGATACTGCTGAGGGAGATGTGATAGCCACAACAGAGGACAGTTATGAAAGAGATAGAGTGCTAGAGAATGAGGATGAGAGTGCTTATGCAGTTCAGTACAGACCTGAGGCAGAGGAGTACACTGAAAATGCTGAGGCAGAGCATGCTGAGACTCTCCACAACAGAACTCTACCCAACCACTTGCACTTTCATTCCATTGAACATGAGGAAGCCATGAATGCTGCATATTCAGGCTATGTGTATACCCATCGACTCTTCCACCGAGGGGAAGATGAGCAGTATGCAGAGCCCTATGCAGACTATGGGCTGCAGGAACATGTGTATGAGGAGATAGGTGACACACCTGACCTAGATGTCAGGGAAGGTCTCAGACTCTATGAGCAAGAGAGGGAAGAGGCTGACAACTATCGAAAGGAAGCTCTGGGTGCACGCCTTCACCATTACGATGAGCGCTCTGATGGAGAGTCTGACAGTCCTGAGAAGGAAGCAGAGTTTGCTCCTTATCCAAGGATGGACAGCTATGAACAAGAGGAAGATATTGACCAGATTGTGGCTGAAGTAAAACAGAGCATGAGTTCTCAGAGCCTTGACAAAGCCGCGGAAGACATGCCAGAAGCAGAGCAGAATGTGGACCCTAATAATCCTCTTGCTAATGTGCGTCCTGAAAACAATGGTCAACCTCTTGTCAGCTCCAGACCCTCTGTTAATGTGGGAGAATCAGTGCAACGATATAGCAAGGAAAAAAGGGATGCAATATCACTGGCCATCAGAGACATTAAGGAGGCTATTGAGGAAGTGAAGACAAGAACAATTCGTTCTCCTTATACCCCTGATGAACCCAAAGAACCCATTTGGGTAATGAGGCAAGATATCAGCCCAACTAGGGACAGTGAAGATCAGAGGCCACTAGAGGGAGATGTAAGTATTAAAATGGCTGGATTATATTTTGACAACAAATTTGTGATCAAATCTGACAAAAGTGCTCTACTTGTAACTTTTTACTTTGGTTGTTGATGTTCTCCTATTAGCCAGAATCCTACTGCCGATTTATGGTTGCAAAAGGAACATCACAAGTCTTAGCAACAAAGTGCTGCTCATTAACAAGATGCTGGTTGCAGCCAGCTCTTCATTAGCAAGTGACAATATGCTATGAAAGCTTACACAATTTCCCTTGCGCAAGTATAAATCAGCAATAAAAGTTTGGACATTTTGTTGTTGCTATTTCAAAAACCAAATTTTACACAATTTAAAATACCTGTCTGTGTTCATGTATTTTTAAATAGTCAAATGTATTTTAGAAATGAAAATCATTATAGTGCAAATTTCCTCCTCAGTTGCCCTTTAATTTGTATTGTAATGGGCTAAATCCTCTTGCCTCTAGTGACTCTTGTATAATACAAACAGTACCACAGTACTAAATTGAGAACTGTAGAAAGTGACTGTTGCATACTGAGTTGGGTGGCTTAGTAAGCAACTGACAGTGTCTACCTCAAGACTACTTACCTCAAAAAGCTATCCTATTGTCATAGCCATGCAAGAGGATTTTGGCCAATATATTAGTAAGGCAAGGAAGGGAAATGTATTAAAAGTACTATGTAAATGTTACTTAGATAAATTATGCACCTTGTGGACTAATTCTTGATGCCTGTATGAATATATTTGCTTTTGTCATAAGCCATGCAGAATGTGTCATGGTGTGATCTGAAGCTGTGATAGTGTAGTGATGATACTGGTTTTGATGCATGTGATTGCTTCAGCCATGAAACAACGGAGCTGTTTGTTTTTTTTTTACACTTACCCAAGTGACATTGATTTGTGCATCAGTCTGTTTCGATAATAGGTTTAAAATTGTATTATCTGCTTTCAGTTACAGGGCAAAGATGGTATAGTTTAATTTTCCTTTTTTAAAAATCCAGTATTTAGAAACCTTCCCCACCCCACCCCTCATGATGTTCCTGCACTGTGCTTCTCATCAGCTGTAGCCAACATGGCTAAAGATTATATGCAAGTAATAGTTCTGGAACATTGGGAGGGCCAAAGGTTCCCTGTTCCTGCTGTTGCTATTCTGCATTACACACATCTGACACTAAATTCCTGCACTTATTAACCCTACACAGTTTCTTCCAGTAGGATTAATGTGGCCTAATGATGTGCTGGATTGTTTCCTAAAGCTTTAGGTGTGCTATAATTTAATTAATTTGATTCATTCTGAATGCCACCAGTATCTTGCCAGACATGAGTGTATTCCTTTGTGTATTCATCTACACTCTAATTTGGAGTAGATCATAAAGCATTCTCAAATGCAGATTAGGAGAAGAGAGCGCAGGTAGTTGTTTTAGACTCAGCCTCTTTCACAGTTGCTTTCTTTTGGGGATTTCACTATACAGTATATATATTTTTATTTTGCAGTGTTAATACCCATGTGTACACAAATACTTTTATTTATTTCCCATCGTTTTCTGTTAAAGAATTTCAGGCAGTAGGGATGGGCTGAGAAAGATACTGTCCCACTAACTATTTTTCCTCTGATCATTAAAATCCTTTATTTAAAAAACCAACAACCTCATATTGGGAAATGTAAGCCAGCAAGACTTCAAATATAGGTATTGTGGGAGAGTAGATAAAACAAATGTCTCTTTCTGCTTTGTCCATATCTTATAAAAAATTCAAAGCAAAAGTGTGCTGCTTATATACCGCCCCATAGCGCTTCAAGTAGTCTCTGGGCGGTTTACAAGTTATTTATGCAGGCTACACATTGCCCCCCCAGCGAGCTGGGTACTCATTTTACCGACCTCGGAAGGATAGAAGGCTGAGTTAACCTTGAGCCGGCTACCTGGGATTTGAACCCCAGGTCATGAGCATAGTTTTAGCTGCGATACAGCAGTTTAACCACTACTCTGAAAGCAAGGAGAGTGCAAACAGTTTTCCATAGGAAGAAAAGCAAAACCTCTGTTTCAAATGAGGTAGAAATTTCACTTGGAATTAAATATTCTATTGGTTCATTGATTACTTGATTCAGTTTTTGACATGTACCCTATCTTAAGTGGGTTGCACTCCCTCTGATAGATTTAGATTTAGATTAGGCATCCTTCAGTCTTGAGAGACTATGGTAACGTGCTCTGAATAGAGGACTTGGAACAGCGTCTAGTGTGGCTGGAATCTCTTCAGCACAACACGGGCAAGCAGCTTCCCTACAATGCTGAGAAGAGAGATGCCACGGTAGTTATTGCAGTTGCCCCTGTCTCCTTTGTTCTTTCTTATACAATGTGACGATGTTTGCATCTTTCATGTCCTGTGGTACTCCACCTTCCCTCCAGCAAAGACAAAAGATTTCATACAGCTCGATGGTGATGATTTCTTTGCAGTACTTAAGCAGGGATGTTATCCTTCCCGGATGCCTTGCCTGAGGCGAGGGAATCCAAGGCCGCTTTTATTTCTGCTAAAGTTGGTTCACTGTCCAACTCTTCCAAAACAGGCAAGCACTCTGTTATTTAATGCCTCTTTGGTTACTACATTCTCTCTGGAATATAGCTCAGAGAGATGAAACGCACCCAGCATTCCATCTACTGAGCTCGGTCCTGGATGACCACGCCTGTGGCAGACTTCAAAGGAGCAGATTTCTTCTGTATTGGATCTAAAGCCTGCTTGATACCATCATACATTCCCTTGATGTTATCTGTGTCTGCTGCTGTCTGTATCTGAGAGCAGAGCTGAATCCAGTAATCATTAGAACATCTCCTGACAGTCTGTTGGACTTTGCTATGAGCAACTCGAAGAACCTGCAAGTTGTACTTACTAGGACAGGCTTTGTATGCTGCTAGAGCTCTCCTCTTTTCCTTGATGGCTGGCATCAACTCCTCCGAATGGGCTTCGAACCAGTCTGCTGTCTTTTTGGTCTTCTTGCCAAATGTGGACAAGGCGGTGTTATAAACAGCATTCTTGAAATGTTCTCGTCATTCAGAGAGAACAGCAGCCGGGCCTGGGCAAATTCCTCCACTTTTCTTTGATTGTGAGTCTGTCAATATGTGGTCTTCCTTCCTTTTTTGTGTGATACAATCTCTTTGTTTGCAGTTTTATTCTACTACGCACCAGTGAGTGATTAGTATCACAATCAGCACAATTGTGATCATTCTACTGGGAAGGCTAGAGCATCTAGTGAGGATCAAATCGAGCTGATGCCAATGCTTCAATCTTGGATGTCTCCAGGAAACTGTGTTGAAGCTTTGTATTAAAGAACGTGTTGCTGATACAAAGACCATAGTAACAGCACTCTGGCAAGCGTTGGCCATTTTCGTTCATCTTCCCAATGCCAAAATGGCCTAGACAAGTGGGCAAGAATTGTGATCAGCACCATCTCTCATGTTAAAGTCTCTGAGAATGAACAGCGATTCTCTCTCAGGGATTTTTTTGATAGTAGCTGCCAGATCGTCGTAGAATTTGTCTTTGACTTCTGTTGTAGATGACAGCGTTGGTACACCCACGAATGAGGTTGATCGGTCCCACTGATGAGTGGAGCTGCAGAGACAGGATTTTTTCACTCCCCACAGAAGGTGGATCTCAGCAGATTATTTCTGACTGCAAAGCCAACACCGTATTCCCTGGTCTCATTCAGTGGTTTTCTCTACCAGAAGAATGAGACTTGTTTTATTTGACAGATCCCGTGTCTGGCAATCTCATCTCTTACAGGGCAACAGTGTCCATCTGCAGCCTACTCAGTTCTATGTTGATGACAGCTATCTTGCGCACATCGTTTATTTCCTGCCGGTTGTCAGAAAAGCCAGGGGTCATTGTCCGAAAATTCCAGGTGCCCAACTTTAGGGCAGAAGTTTTCTTATGATTGTTGCATGGTGCAGGGTTATCGATCTGCTTGTTGGCTTTCACTCTAAAACCCACACACCCTGTGAGGTTAACAGACCGTGGCGAGGCAGCACCTTACTGGCTGGGGGCTGCCCAGCTTAAGGTGGGCGGTAGCTACCTAGTGAGGTGCAGTGCCCTCTCCCGCCATCCGAAGTAGCCCCCGGCATCATGCTCTACGCCAGTCAAGCAGAGACTTATAACCAGTAACTGCTACTTCCCGTGTTACTTCAGTGCTGTATGCGAAGCTGGAGTGTCCTCTCCAGAGCACGAAACCTGGGTAAAATAATATGGAGGATAGGCTATTACCCAAGTAGCAAATCCCCCCTCTCCACATCACTGAAATAGTCCAAGGGAATGGCAAGAGCCAATACAGCTGGTTCCAGCGACGTCGCAGGAGTTGCCAGAACGGCACAAACTGCCCCCGGGACTCCGGCTCCGGATTTTGCCTCGAGGTTAACTCCTGAAGTCTTTGCCATCAGTGGATATAGCCACAAGGCACTGGAGGTTTGAAATTGGAGTTTTCCTTATCCTAGATGGGCAGCCTTCTAAGGCTGACAAACCCCACCTACCTGGCCTGCTCTCTAATAGTGCGGAGATTAGAACACAGGCCTCCAGCTGCTGGACCTTGTCTTCCAAGAGGACCACCAACTAACAGAGCATTTCTAGCTAGGTACCTCATTTGACCAAACAAAAATGCCACAGGTGTTATAAGTGACTGCAACAAATCCTGCACTCTCCATCTTGACAGATTGGTCAGTGAGTTAAAAAGAGAGGAAGTCTGATCCTCTCCCTAAAACTTCCCTGCTCCCCCAGGTGTATGCAGTCCTATTTGTCTTCCCTATTTACCAAATTAGATTCTAAAAAAAATAAAATCAGAGAAATTTGCATGTCATTAGGCGCACACCTCTGGTAGCACTTATGTAAAGCTAAACCCCCACCCTCTCAGACCATGCGGTCAGGGAGAACAAAGGTCAGAACAAACACACTCTTACAAGCCTAAAAACCCACAAGCCTAGAAAAAAATACCACACCAAATAAAATGTCCTTCCAGACACAGCTCA